TTTCATATATTTATCTCTTTTATTTTATGTTATGGTGTGTGTGATAATTATAAATTATGTAATTATTTATTCTTTAACTAATTATTCATTCTTATTGTTATTCTATGGTATTTCTCTATTATCTCATTCTTATTTCTATTTCTCTTTTATATTTTATCAAATGATAAATTAGAAATATTTACAAAATAAAATTACATGTTTATATTTACCCCCTTTTTATTTGTTTCTTGTTATTGTTAAAATTGTATGAAATGTTTTATAATTAAATATTCATTTTTTAATTTAAATTCAATTTTCTCTATATAATATTTAAGTATATTAATTAATTATTTCTTTATTTGTATTTAATAAATTGAATGATAATAATTTCTTGAAATAATTAATTTCAATATATTGATATGTTGTTTTATCATTGTTATTTATTTATATTTATTTAACTATTTTTTATTTATGATTATTATGTTATTTATTTGATTATTTATTATTCATTTTATCATTTATTTGTTATCAATGAATGAATAAAACATTATGAATAAATTAATAAAATAAATATTATTAATTCATTATGAAATGATAGTTAAATATCATATTATGAAATTAAATAGATAAATTAAATTAAAATAACATAGAATTCAATAATATTATGTTGTATTATATTATATAATTCAATTTTAAATTATAATATCATAATTTAATTAATTAATTTCATTTATTAACAATTATATTATCATTTATTTTATGTTTGAATTTTGATTATCATTTATTTTATTAGTATTTTATTATTAAAATTACATATTAAACATTCTTTATCATTTATATATTTAATTTTATTTATTTCATATTTTATCATTTATTTTAATTATATTATAAATATATATAAAATGATTGTTATTTTACTTTTAGAATTAAATAAAATAAATATAAATCAAATTAATTTATGATAATCATATTTTATATAAAATATAGAATATTTAATCATTATATAAAATATAATGAAAATAAAAATTAATTTAAAATAAGAAATAACATTATATAATGTTTAGAAATGTTATTAAATTAATATTTATTCTATTTGAAATGATTTAATGTTTATTATCAATCAATATATCATTGATAATTATAAAATTATTGAAAATTAATCATTTCATTCTTATAAAATGAAAATATAATATTCATCTAATTAATTTATTCATTTTTTATCTTTTTCTTATTTGAATTAATTCAATAATTATTTATTTATTCTTTATTTTATATTATTCATTCATTGTTATATTCTCATTATCTAATTATATTATATCTGTTCTTATCTTGTTATGTTATTCATAAAAATTACTTTCATTTTATTCTTTCTTTTCATCATTTATTATTTTCTTTGTTAAAACTTTAAATTTATTAAAAAGTCATTTCACTTACACAATGACTCATCATCCTAATCACTTTCTTCACCTTTTTGGATGTAGATTTTTCCTATTCTCTTATCATTCTTTAGTTCTTCTTCACATTTACATCCACTAAAACAATCATCTCCTATACATTTAACTGATGATGGTATATTAATTGATTTTAATGATGAACATTCACTAAAACAATTGTCTCCTAATTTACTAACTGATGATGGAATATTGATCGATTTTAATGACTCACATCCCTTAAAACATCCATCTCCTATTTTTCTAATTGACTTTGGAATAACAATTTCATTAATATCTCTTTCTCTTATTGGTCTTCCATTAATTCTTTTTAAGTTATTAATAGGAATTGATACTAGTTTTTCTTTTCCTACAAACATTCTACCCTCACTAATAAATTGAACATTTCCAATATTTATACTTGTTAATGATTCACAACCTTCAAAACACAGATACCCTATTTTAATAATTGGTGATGGTATATCAATTGATTTTAATGATGTACAATATAAAAAACATTCACATCCTATTTTAATAACTGAAGATGGAATATCAATTGATTTTAGTGATTCACATCCAAAAAAACAACATACCCCTAATTCACTAACTGATGATGGTATATTTACTGACTTTAATGATTCGCATCCACTAAAACATTCATCTCCAATTTTAATAACAGAAGTTGGTATGTTAATAGATTTTAATGATGAACATTCATAAAAACATTTATCTCCTAATGATGTAATATATGTGGGGATATTAATTTTATCAATATCACTACATCCTTCAAAACATTCATCACCAATTGCATTAAATCCTTTTGGTATTTTCAATCCATATCGTTTTCTATCTTCTTTTGTATACACTTTTGTCATTGTTATTATGTAGTTATTATCATTTCATTAAATAATAATGGATGACGAATTATTATATTTTCTTTATTCTTCTAATGATGTTTATTTATTTATTTTTTTACATTTTTTATAATCATTACATAAAATTATTAATATTATTGTTAATGTAATGTTATTTGTATTTATTTTTATTTTATATTCATATTTTTATCGTTTTTATGAAATTTGTTCTTTTATTTTGTATTTATATTTTTGTTCATTTCTGTATTATTTATCATTGTTATTAATGTAATTATTCTTTTTCTTTATATAATTTCTTATTATAATTTATTTTGTTTGTTATTTTTTATTCAATTCAATTATATTTTCTCATTTATTTTTATTTTATTACCCCCTTTTTTATCTTGAAAAGTAACATAATACAATTATTTTATTTTTCTATTTATTTTATTTGAAATTATTTAATTTTATGATTAATCATTATTTATAAAAATAAATTCAATTTTACCCCCTTTTTATTTTCTCTTTATTTATATTTCTTTCTTTTATATTCTTATTATTAGATTTACATATCCTTTTCCTATCAAATTTATATGTTATGTTAATGAAACAATTCTAAATTAAATTAATTATGATATTTTCTAATTTTGATAATACACTCATCATATTTATTATTTATTCATTTATTTTATTCTCTCTATTATTTATTTTCTATTTATTTCTTTAATATAATATATAATATGTTTATTTATGAATTATAATCTTTAATTTTATATCTTATTATAATTTATTATCTGATTCATTATTTAATTTATTCTTATTTATTATATTCTTATCATTATTTTATTTATTTTCATTCTTTATTTTCTTCTTATTTATTGTATTATTCTTATTTATATTTAATATTGATTATTATTATGTTATAATTTTATTATTTTATCTTGTTATTTCTATTCTTTTATTTTATTTGATATAAATCTGTTTATTATTTATTTTATTAAATTAAACATTAAATATTAATTTATTCTTTCTTCAATTAAAGAATTATCATCATTAATCCAACAATAACCATAACTAGATTTATTATCATTGTTCTATTTCCACTACTTGGATATGCACAAATTCCTTTAACACATTTATTTTTATTATAATCAAACTTGTATCCTGAGTCACAATAAGCTAGTACACATTTTGTACTCCATTCTCCATTATCTCCACATTCATATCCTCCATGCCCATGTTTTATATTAATTTCTTTATCACATTTATTATCTATTTTAACTAATCTTTTATTATTTGGATTACATTTTGTTTGATATTTCTCTACTATTTTCTTTGTTTCTTCTTCAAATTCTTCTATTATTTCATCTCCTATAACATATGGATATATATTCACTCTTTCATCTATTACATCTTTTATAAATTCTCTAGGAATATTTTCATTATATTTATAATTATGTTTAAATGTTTCTAAAATACTATAACTAAGTGAAAATTCTAATGGTTTGTAATCATATTGTTTTTCTGTAATTATATTCATCATTCTATTTGATGGTGCTTGTCCTACTTCAATTTCTTCATCTTTACCATTAGGATCACCATCAAATCCAACAATAATAGCTCCTCCCCATTCTTTTAATCCTTTTGTTATAAACGAACAAGTAGAATAACAAAATGAATATGTATAAATTATTATTTTTGTTGGTTTTCTTTGATGTTTTAATGGTTGAATTGGTGGTTCTGAAACATATTCTGATATTTGTGTAATTTTATGTTTAATATCACCATATTTAATAGTTTTTGGTTTTGTATACCATCTTCTCTGTCTTTTAATACAATACCTATATAATACCCATGCATCATCTTTTTCAGTGCTTCTACGCATACAATCTTCTATTTCTATTCCTTCATCACCATAAACTCCTCTTTTCTCACATGTTTTTGGGTCAACAAAATATTCCATATATCCTTTTTTTAATATTGAAAGTGTATTATCAGATTCCCTTGCTGATGAAAGTAAATTTGCATCATAGTTTGGTGTTAATAATTTTTGAATCCATATTCCTAATTCTTCACTTCCATCTTTATTTTCTGGAAGAATAACTTGAATTGGATATTCATTTGAATCAAATAATTCTATACATTTTTGAAGTAAGTATAAGTCTTTATTAATATCATATCCTTTAATAACAAGAGTATTAATATTATTATTAGATACTTTACAATAAATATTATCATATTTATCACCATATTCATTTCTCTTATTATTTATATTTGTATAATTTTCATTTGATGATAGAATGATTTTATCTTCTTGATTTATACATTGATAATTTGATAATTTTAATAAATTATAATGAACATCAACACTTTCATCATTTTCCCATGTAATTGTTATAGGTGTATTTAAGTAATGATTTGATAAAGGTAATAAAAGTAAATTTCCTTGAGTAAATGAATTATCAAGAATAGAAGATTTAGAATTTGTAAATTGTGCATGAGGAGATTTAAATGAACTATATTTGTTTCCAAATTCTCTAATAATTTCAAATGGATCATTTCCATTTATTGATTTAACATAAATATCTTTATTATTTTCTATTTCTGTTGGAATATCAATCTTTACATTTTTATAATAATATTTAGGAATAAGATACATATGTTTTTCTTTATCTATCATAATATTAAAAGGAAGGAAATAATAAAAATAAGCAATATAATTTCTATATGAACCATGATTTTGTTTTATTGAAAGAGATAATAAAGGGTCTTTTGCCGAAATAAATAAATTTTGAATCTGTGAATAAAATTCATATACACTTCCACTAGCCATATTTATTTTATTTAATCCATCATCAATATCTACTTTTTCATAATAATATGAACCAGTTGGTGGATTCTTCAATATGTCTTTGTATACATATGATTCTAAATTCCTTTTCAAATCATTAATCACTGATTTTTTATTATCTTCTGAAATTATTAATTCATCAATACATTCAAATACACTATCAACAGTATCTACAACTGAGATATATTCATTGTATTCATTACATTTCTTTCCAAATGAGAGTGTAATTAATAGAAGTATTAGACTAATCATTTAATGAATTAATTCTTTTAAAGTTCAATCTTAAATACTCATCAATAACATTACACTTTTTACCCCCTATTTCTAATTAATGATAATAATTTTTCATTTTTTTAAATAATACGGTATTTTTAATCATTAGAAATTGGTTATGAACAGGATAAAATGTTCGCGATTGTAATTTTATTTTCAAAATTGATAAAATAAAATTATTAATAAAATAATTATTTTTCATTGTAATTATACATTTTTGTTGTATTTCTTAAAATATTAAACATCATTATTTATCGTTATTTTAATTTAAATACTAAAAATAGAATATTTTAAATTACGTTTATTATTTTTATCATATTTTATTCTTTTTATCGAACAACAATAAAATTATTCCATTTCTCATTTTTTTTTTCCCTTTTATTAGAATTAAATTCAAATAAATATTGAATCAAAATAAATATTTATTCCTCATTTGTTTCATTATGAATAAATTAATGTAAATAATTGAAATTATTTTATGTTAAAATATATAAAAATATACATAATTTTTAATAAATTGTATTCTTTTAATGTTTGATGAATACGTGTTATTTTAAATTTAATTATTTAATTAAATACAATTAATATTTAAGATAATAGATAAAAAATAATGTTAATAAAATTACATTTATTTCAAAAAATAAAACGATATTATTAAAACATAAAAGTATTTAACCACATTCATTTTATGAAATGAATCAATATTAAATTAACCATTAAATTGTTAACTCTTTTAATATTATTATTTAAATGAACATTATCTCTTGTTTCATTTCAGTTATATTCTTTATTTTACTTTCAGTTTTTATAATGTAATGACAATATCTTATTTTTATAAATAATGAATATATTTCTTCTTACTTATTATTCAATATTTTGATAAACATATTATCATCTTCATTTCTTATTTTCTTTCAATTTAATTCTATTTTCTTATCATCAGTAATTTAAATATCAAATTGAAGTTAACAACATAGTTTATGTATGATATTCATTATGTAATAACCAGAAATATTCATTATTCATATTTAATGAAGATATCGTTCTAAATTTATTTTTGAATAATAAATTATCATTTCATTTATTTTATTTCATACCTTATATTCTAATGAATGTTGTATATTAAAATATAATAATTATATTTAGATTATATGAATATTTTAATTAATACAAAACATCATTCATTATGTCAACATTTTCAAATATAAATTAATTTTTAACATTTTACCATATTTAATTTATTATTTTATCAAATGATAAATTAGAAATATTTACAAAATAAAATTACATGTTTATATTTACCCCCTTTTTATTTATTTGTTGTTATTGTTAAAATTGTATGAAATGTTTTATAATTAAATATTCATTTTTTAAATTAAAAGAATAATAAATTCTGTTAATACACCTCTCCTATTAATTTAATATCACAATAAAATATAATTATTAGTTATTTACATAACATTTAATTTTATTTTCAAAAACCATGTTAAAACATTTATAAAAATAAATTGATTATTAATTTCATTATTCTTGTTGGTTATTGTTTGTATTTATTTGATTAATCTACCAAATTATTTATTGTTAATTGAAATTGATTATTTAGTTTGTTTTGATTATTATGCATTTGATTTATATTCTGATTATTTTAACATTTCATCAATCAACTTAAAATGAAAAAGTGAATTAAAGTGATAATTAAAAATTCACATGTGTTTTTATGATTAAAAATACTATACAAAAATTTACTAAATGAGAATATTTCATATAGAATGTAATAAAAATCAAATAAAAGAATGAGAAGTATTGAATATTAAACATGAAAAATAGTAAAAAAATAAACAGAAAAGAAATAAATGATTATTTAGAACAAGAAGAATAATGATGAAATTTAATATTGAATAAAAACAATGAGTGTAATTAATACAATAATAAGAAATAATAAAATAAAATATAATCATAATTACAATAAATATATATTCAATACTTTAATAATTAATGAAAAATAGAAGAAATAACAAAAACAGCAAATATACATGTAAATAAAGCATTAAAATAATAATGAAATAATTATTAAAAACATTAAAACTATATAAAATAATTGAATAACGAGAAGATGTTATCATCTAAACATACTTTAAATAATTTAAATTAAATTAAACATCATAAAATAAACAATTAATTCATCACTTTTCTATTTTCAAAATAATAAAAATCATTTTATATTATTCAATTAAATTTCAATTATCTAGTGTTATCTAATTGTTTTTAATTGAGATTAAAATTTAAATCACTCTCTTTTAATGATTTTTTAAGTTATTGATTTTGTTAACAAGACTTTTTATAAAACAACACCAAATAAGAAAATAACCAACTGAGGTTATAACGTGTACTATAAAACAAATTATTCTTACACAGTAACACCACCAACACCCAATAAAACAACAACTTTTATTATTTTCCTTTTTTTCTAATTTTCTCTTTTTCAATTTTTTTATCCTTCTTCCTCATTGTACAATTTTTCTGTTTTATTTTAATAGTAATTTCATACTATTCATAATGAATAACTTCTCTTTCATTTATTTTTATTATTCTTTATTTATTTGTTTCATATTTTATATTCCATTTTATTTATTTTATATTTTATTTTATTCATATTTAATTTATATTTATTATTTTAATGTTTTCTTGTTCATTATTTAATTTTATTCATATTTAATATTTCTATTAATTATTCTATTTCATTTTATGATATTATATTATTATAATATTCATCTGATTATGAATATAAATAAATTGAATATTATTATTTTCATTTATTCTATTATTTATTAAATTTATTCATTTCTTCTTTATTTTCTATTTTATTCATTTTATTTTTTATTCGTTTATAAACATATTTTATTTATTCATTTATTTTAAATATTTTATTTTATAATTTATTATTTCTTTATTTCTATTGAAAATGAAGTTGTTGTATTATTTAATACAATTACAATATATGTATTTCTTTTTATTCTTTTATTCATTAATTTGATTTATTTTCTTCTTATCATATTCTTATTCATTCAAAATAACAAATATCTACAATGTCTACATTATTTATATCATTTTATATATAAAATAAAATATATCTTATTTGAATAAATTCAATTTATTAATTATTTCATTATTATTCATTTCAATATTATTCATTATACTTTTATAAATAATTTTATTGTTTTATTTCATGTGAAATCATTATAAATATATCAGATATTTTAATTTCATTTAAATACATTATAAATATTATAAATAATATGATAAAATAAATAGAAAATGAAATATAAATAATAAAAATACAATAATATCAATCTTATTAATCTAATTGAAATTATACTTTTTCAATCATAAATAAAATTGTAAATTAATATTTTCTTTTTAATTTCATCAATCAATTTGAAATAAATTATAATATTAATACATAATTTATAATATTAAACATATATTTATCATCTAATTTATATAAAATATATTTCAAAACAATTTTAAATAATAATTTCATTTCATTATTCTTATCTTCTTTATTTCTTTTCTATTTTATTTAAATGAAAATCAAATATAAAAATAATAAATAAAAGAATAAAAATAATAATAAATAAAATGATATTAATAATTCAAATCAAAATAACAATTGAATAAATTCAATATTTCTCATAAATATCAATAATAAA